GCAGAACATCCTCTATGGCGAATTTGAAAAGGAAAGGGAATATAGGACAGCCTTATTGAACCATCAAGCCGTAAAAACCATCCGAATCAGACAATTCACCGCCGATGTGTTATAATGATTTGGGAAAAATTTTCTTAGAAAGCTCGCCAAACTGTTTTCTGATGTTTGGAAGGAAGAAAATAGAGAAAATAGAGAACCCATGAGTAAACCTTTTCTCAAAAACGGATGTTGCTAGGGTTCGTTCCTACGAATATTTTGCCCTGTACTTTCTCAATAGCAAATATTCGCCCACATTGGAATAAAAATTGCGGTGATCAAGCTACGATGTCACATATAGCGTTTAATAAACTGCGATCGGAGTATCATGACTCCAAGATTGCAGTTGACTTCAAAGATCATTGGCAGATATTGAATGTATTGAAATCATCGACAGGAATTCTTTCGCACTTGTTGCTTATTCTGAACACAAAAGGCTTGAAAAAAATGCAAGCAAGCTCGCAGGAAAAAAACATTTGTGTTTGATTTTTCATCAATCTCAATCATGGGAGCCAGGAAATCTCACCTTTACACCAGTCTCGATCGTAGCCAAATCCGGGTGGGAAAATCATTTCCATATCTGGAGGCATTTCAGCAATTGTGAGCATCAGATAGGACAGATGAAGTGCACGAAATTCCGGGGTGGATCCGTGTGTCATTGTATACTCGACCGAATCCCTATCTGCCTTATCATCGAGCACACTGAACAGTTCATACGGGCAAGCGAATGCGGACGGGACAAACGATTGTTGGGGAATCATGGATTTTCGCAGATAGGGTGAACGATAGATGTAGCTGAACTGTCGTGTTCTGCTCTGTGCAGCCATCGCGGGCCACAAACTGGCGAGGACCCGGAGCAATGCGGTTTTCCCTACCCCACTTGGGCCGGTTACCAGTAATGGGCGATTTAGACGGAGAGTAATAGAGAGATCTATGCGGTGCGACGTTTGTAGGCGGAAGGTAAGGAGAAGTGGGATATTTAAAATTCCAGGTAATATAATTAGAGCGAACAAACAGAACAAACAATAGGGAGAGAGCTGCGATTTATCGCACTATCTAAAAGAAAGCTGTTTGAAGAAAAAACCTTGGCTGCGTAATGATGAAAGCTATTATCATATGGAGTCAGATCATTGAACAAGTAGTTCACAGCAATGTTTCTCACCGAGTCAGCACCCTGGAGGCTAGAACTAAGACGATAGAAACCAGTTCTCAAAGATGAGCTGTGCTGCATTACGGATAGATGAAGAGAAGCAGTTTGATAATGGGCAATGGGCTTGCCTCCCATCCATGAGATCTCGGATTTCGGATCCGCAGAATGAAACACGTGTGAATGGCTTTTCAGTGCATTTTCAGTTCACGCTTCGTTTGTTCTGTGAACAGGACGAGATTCGTCACGAGATAGCAAACAGTGTGTGAGGAAAACACGCGACAATAACACGTATTGTGTTGTGGAATATATTTTGCCAGCAGACCACTACTACTACAACCACTGGTCAGAGGTATAATAAAGAAACAAATGAGCATAAGAAAGACATTATACCTGTCAACAAGAAACCCTTCACAAACTGATACGCTTTGTAAACAAATCACTGGTAATGGACTGATTGTATTGAAAATGGTTACAGACCGTCATACACATACACATACACACACACACACACACACACACGATGAGTGCCTATTTTGTTGACGGATACCAGAAAATGGAAACCAAAAAAAAACTCACGGAAATGCAAGTTAAAGAATTTCTTTTACTTGAACCAATCAAACCGAAAAACATTCTCGATTAGGAAATTCTCGACATTTAGAACAGCCCTAACGACGACTATTTGAATTCATTTCTGAGTGAAAAAATAGGGAGGACACGCCGGCTGAGAATGGGTAATAAAACTTCCACTGCCTGCGTGTTCGTTTCTGTCATTTTGCTGTGATTCAACAACGTTAGTCAGTCAGTCAAATGGTCAACATCTATGATTGACTGCTTTCACGAGCCTTCTGGCAGGTATTCTATCTCTTATTGGACAAAATCAAATGACCGGTATTTTCTGTCGTCGGGTTGTCAAGGAGTTCGCATTCAGGCAGCTCCGAACTGGCGCGGGCAATGAATTTTTGTGCTAACAGTCCTATCAAATGTGGCAAAGCCAAAGGCAACTTATATCCGTCAGTTCTCATTAGGGTTGTCGAAACCAGTCGATTCTCGAGCGTTTTCATCGAAGGAATAAAACTAAAAATAATCTTCAATGCATCCAGTAGGGCATTTGCTGTTACCGCTATCCGCGAGGAGCTTGAGTCAACCATGTGAACAAGTCAAAATCAACCCCCCCCCCCTTCGCCCCCTTCTTACAAAAGTACAAAAATCGAGGTTTCATTTTCCATGCTCACTTAATTTATTTTACTTCGGTTGGCACCTTGGAACCGATAAGCCGGCTCCAGACGTGATCGTGAAGTTACTTGGGTGTTTGGTAAAATAGACGTCCCCAGCGTCATTCGGCATTTTTATTTGAGAGCGCACCTCTAGCCTTCGCATAACTAAGTGCGAACCGCAAGGCAGCCAGAAGTAATCCCTCCCCTCGGAAGTTAGGGGGCAATGGATTTAGTTCTAAAAGGTCAGTCACATTGACCTTTGTCACGACACTGTGATTGGGCTTATGCGGCTTTTAAACAGGAACCAGATGACCAACCTGAAACCCACCACACCCTGTTAGTGACACCGCTGTGCGTCCGCGACTGCTTATTTGTTACGGTATGCCAGCCACAACTTATTCACAGCTAACCTTCTTTGGTGAACTTATCCTTCCATCCACAAACCGGGGACGCGCCTGATAGCATTGAGCTCTGCTTAACCCACGGATATCAGGTAGTTCCTTTTAATTAGCACTAAACCGTAAGAAATACAGCGGACTGAAAGAGCCATGTTTGTTGGGCACAATACGAGGTAGATGGCACTTAGTGACGGTGATACTGTTTAACTTCGAAGAAATTGCATCATTCCCGTTACTACTGCTATCCTAACAGTTTTGTGAAACTCATATCGAATCAAGTTTCTTTTGCTGACATTTCTTTTGACCTAACACATCCTGTACGTGCAGACCTTTTATAATGATGCTTACTACATTAACCCGCTGCGCTTATCGGTGTCGCGATTTCGCTAATCTTCGGACCAGAGCATTATTATTCGAACCGGAGAATTACATCCATCGTCGTAATCAGAANGAAAAGGATGGTAGGCGAACATGCTTTTGGTGATTTTTTGCTCAAGTCACTATAATCACATTCATTTTAAAAAAAATAGTGGGTGTTGTGTTGGATTCAAACAGTCGAGGCCAAATAATTATAGCGAAGGGGTAGGGTAGGAACACGTTTCTCTCCAGTTCTCTTGTTCAGAACGGATTAACTAAGCGTTCATTTGGGTCATCACAACGGTCAGCGAGATCGTTATCAAATATCACTTTCCTACGAGGATCTCATAAAGCAGATCCCTCAAACACAACCTGACGTGTTAAACCGCATTTTTGACGTGTGCTGTCCGGTGCTAACTGTGTTTCTTCCACCTGTCAGAATATCAACAACCTTTCTTAAATGTCTTCGCTGTGAAAAGGAACGTGCATTTAAATAAGGCAGGAGGACCGAAATGAAACGACGATTTTTTCTGATCAAGAGTGAAATAAGATGGTTGGATGCCCTTTATGCGAGTTAGCATTTTTTGGACGAGGAACTCTAAATTTACGTGGTGTGGAATAAAACCACTCTGAAGGCAGAAGAAAAAGATTTTCGGTTTTTCTATCGAAGCATTTACTAATTTGGGTTTAGTCTGACATATGCCCTAGCCATATGGACTCGACTTCTCTGAACATCCAATCTTTGTTCGAACCCATTGCTTCTAGTAAACTGTATAAACACATACGTTCTCTCAAGGTGTCGACATACCAGGTTCAGTCAACTTAAGTACTACGCTTCTTAAACACGGTGCTGTGCCATTGTCTCACTTTTAGTTATCCTTCATCACTCCCGATGATGTTTATCAGTTTGCATAAAAACATGACCGCTCGACAGTGGATACCGTTTCTTCTCTAGTTCACTTCATCTGCAAGTCCTTAAATGAGAAAGTCAAGTATGTGCAATGTGCATTTCTTGATTATTCTTCCAGGTTTGACCCGGTACCTCGTTCTCTTTCATTTAACAAGCTCGCATAGTTTAGTTGTCCTCTTTCTCTTCTTGATTGGCTTGATTACTTTTCGCAAAGATATCAATATATCAAATGGGGAAGAAGACAGTCAACGGTATCGCTCAATACTTCGGTTCTACTACAAGGTGCTGTCCTATCACCCTATGCTTTTTCGACTCATGTCAGTGACTTACCTATTACTCCCCCTGTTCTATATTTTAAGTATACTGATGATATCGCCATTTCTTTTTCCGTATCTAATCGATCAGAACTGACTGAAGATAACACAAACTTATCCAACCTATTTTCGAATTCCACTTCATCCCGAAAAATGCCTTGAATGCATTTTCACTTTGAACCGTTTTCCATCTCCCTCCGACAATGTACAAACTCATGGAAAGCTGATGATCAGGGTCAGCCACGTGAAGTACTTAGGTGTCACACTTGAAAGTAACCTTCTCTGGTCTTTACACACCCAGACTGTTGATCGCAAGCTGGTAGTTTCTTCCTTTCAGGTAAGAAGACTCCCCTACTTCTGTTCTAATTTGTCGGTGATAGGAACTTTTGTTCAACAATGGTTCTTCCTATACTGGTTTACTAATTCCCTGTAATTTTCCCTGGTTTGCTGAAGGCTGATTTCAAGTTGCTGATGCGTGTCCTCTCAGTGATCAACCGTGCTTCCCAAGTCCGCTTATCCGTCTCCATTGACAATATCTGCGATGCTCATATTGATTAGTGCTTGAAGTTTGCTGACAATATTCTATCGGGTGGCATCCATCCTTGACACATTGATCTGTGTGCATGCGAAGCACATCCCCTCACCCGTCCCGAATGCAAACTCATCCCATCTGGGATATCTGCCATTGGGAAACTCTATCTTGTCTGAAAACGGACCGATAAGGAGCGTGTTTGTTCTGAGCTTTCTAATGCATTTGGTAGTTAATTCACATTTTTGCTCGTTCGATGCACCACTGTTTTTCCACTTTTTCTGCCAGTATTGTGCTGGTGGTGGTCCAATTCCTTTTTTTGAAAGCTTGTATAGAACTCGTTACAGCACACTACACAATACAATGAAAGCGATGATGATCGATGAAATTGAATCCCCTCAGCATACTTGTCCAACATCACGAGGCAGCGAGGGGGGAGGGTTCGTTACTCTTTTGTGTTATTCATATCTTGGCATGGCTCAGTATGCGATCACTGTGAACGAGGCCAGCTTAAATGATTAAAGAGTTTTAGAACCTACTGGGGAACGAACTGAAGGTCGCGTTAAATCAAAAGTGAATCAAAAGTAATAGCGCTGTACTTTGTTGGACAGTATTCGGGGGAAAACGTGCATTGAAGTTTTAGGGATGCATGGTCGGACAACACACTACTGATAAAACCGAATTCGTAGTACAAATAACAAGGGCACAGTTTATCACAGATTCCTTAATACCCACGAGACGATTGATCGTTATGGAAATCGATTCCAAAGATTTTTAGCCGCTTTATCTCTCCCCAAACAATCCGGATGAAAGTAGGCCGAAAGAATGAAAAGAAACGCGAATACTCACTGCGAATAAGTTCACGATCTGGATCCATTGGCAGGGAGATGGTGATATGACTCAATTGCATGACCACATCCGGTAGTTTGGGATCGATTCTAGAGCAGGAGGAGAA